ATATAAGATGGATATGTCTATTGAATTTTTCGTACAACAGGTGCATTTAATCGAAACTTATAATCGAAATTCTAAAATTGTTTATTAAACATCTAAAAATAAATCAACGATTAGAAGAAAGCAATAAACACGTGATTATAGGCAAACGATACTGACGAGAATGATAATAGAAAAAAAAAAGAATGACGTTATGTCGATATAAGACTTGTCTATCTCAACATATATTGCTATTGGATATCTTCAATATACATAAACAAGTCACGTTGCTTTTTTTTTTGTATTTAATTACCGAATAGTGACGAATAATCTTATTGAATAAAACGGTTTTTTCGAAAAATATCTAAGCACATGGAAAACAACTTTTATTTCTTCTATAGAATACAATCGTTTATTTGAAGAGAAAAAATAAACACATGAAAATTAATATCCAAATTGTATGTTCTCTTTTCGCTCCCAGAAACAATATGATCGTTTTTGTCGTCTGATAATATTGAACAAAAAAGAACAGATAAAATACATTTTCATATCTAATTATATTGTGCAAACTTTATTTTCATTTTATTTAATTTTTTTATATTTCATATTTGAAAATGCATAACTGTTTTATTGAGTTATTTTCCAAAAAAATATATGAGTACTCGAGTGAGTATCCATACCACTACTTGCGAGTAAAGTTAAACAACCAACAACTAGATCAGTGCGACTACGAGTACTCAATCAGTAAGAATACTCGTCAATTTTCACGAATACTTATTGGAGTAATATGAGTACTCATGCTGGCAAGTCGTACTCGCTTGATGAGTAGTTTCACTAGGGAGAAGTTCAACATAAAACAACGGCATGTGATCAAGGCAGTATTCTAAATACAGCACGTGGAAACGAAGTTTCGGCTAGAGCAAACCGATCGAATAATAAGTAAAGTTATGCGCTCAGTGGCGAAGGTTGGCGAGGATGTAATTGTATGTCACCACTGAATTCAGAGTGACATCCATGTACGAAGGTGTGGGTGTTAGTTTATATTCATCTTTTCTTCATCCACATTCATATCCGACTATGACACGTCTTAGTGTACCTTTAAGTACTGAACTTTCAAATTAATTGCAAGCTATATAATCTTACTCATTCCAACACTCAAAAAATATACATTCTCTTTTTGTTTTTCTAGACCAAAAGCGAATCCAGGAAAAATCTGAAAACACTGATAATATAGAGAGTATTGCTAGTGAATCTGTTGCTGACGATTTAAATAATGCAGTATTGTTAAGAAAGAATGCGATATTTATCAGTGGTTTACCAGTGACTATGATGGAGCAGCTTCTGTTCAATACACTACTGGATGAATTTCGTACTGTTGGTACAATTAAAGTAACTAAACAACGCATATTTTACCAAACGAATTTAAAGTCATATTATTTATTTCTAGTATAATAAACAAAAAAAGAAACCACTCATCGATTTAATTAGAAATGAAAAGAATAAGACTCAACTGAGTGGTTGTGCAGAGATCACATTTGAAAACGAAGGAGCAGTAGTAGAAGCAGTTAAAAAATATAACCGTAAGTTTCAATCAAGTTGTATATTCAAGAGCGCAAAATATTTATCGTATCTATTCTAGAAATGCGTGTACCGACGTTAAATAATGCTCAAATTGGTGTGATGCGATCGGAAAAGAAGTCTTCTGCATTCCCGAATCCACTACCACCATCACCAAGTGAGCATTTGTAGCAGAAAGACGTTTGTTATTGAGAGTGCTTGCACTGATTTCCAAATCAGAAGTCTGATGAAATCGAGTTTTTGTTTCCGATCAACTTGATTGACACTACTCAGATTTTTGTTTGATTTCAATAAAAAAGAATTTTTCTATAACGAATTCATTTTTTATTAGAGAATTGTATTGTGGGTGTGAATGTTGGATGATTTGCTTCTCACGACTTTGAAAAGTACACCCTCACCGATATTCACATCTACACAACCAAACACCCATCCACCCACACGCATCCTTAGAAGAGTTTTTCAACTAATCTTTTATACAGAATTATATAAACATGAGTATAATAACAGAACACTTGTGAAGGGGTTTGTTTAGTATAATACAATAGAAGATATTAACTCTTTTATGACAAACGAGAAGAGATTAAACAGAATGACTGTAATTGACAATAGTTTATAGACATTGTACATTATCAATAGACTTAGTTTCTTTGTAATAGATCATACTAATACAATAGATGAGTTTTTCATGATTCTTTCTTATCGTGACAATCATATAATATGATGATCATAATCAAAAAACCAGAATGATCACAACAATCTGTAAATGAGATTCAACAATGTTTTCTGTTAGTTTCTATTGACTGACTTACTTAATAATCAAATAAAATTATTCGAATTGTAAGAAATTGAAGAATGAAAAGAGAAAAGATATAAATTGGAATTGTTTTTGTGAAAATTTAAAAAAAAGAAAACTTCATTTGTTGAAAATCTAGATATTTGATGAAATATATTTTTTTAATTTCATCTTAAAAATTTTCAACAGAAAAAATGTTTCTTATCCATATTTTATTTTAAAGAAATTTTTCAATTTAAATTATTTTTCATTGATAAATTTTCTAAAATATTCGTTTTTCTTTCAAACTTGATAAAAAAATTAAAGTTTCAGCCAAAATTAATCTTTTCTTTTTTCCTTCGATCAAACAACAAGTTTTCTTCTTTTTATTAAAATGTTTCGTTTGCATTCTTTTCTAGAACCGAAATGGGAACAAAATGCCATCACTGTGGCTGGTGGAAATGGGCGAGGACAAAACTTAGATCAACTCAGTATCCCTTTTGGAATCTTTATTGATGAAAACAAAAATATTTTCATTGCTGATTCTTTTAATAATCGTATTGTTGAATGGAAATGTAATGCAAAGAAAGGACAAAT